AATTTAATCCCACATGAAACTAGTCCAGGCCAGGCCCGTGCCAGGCGCACGCTAAATCGCAGCGTACAGACACTTACTACAGACTAGCGCGTATTTAGCCCGGGATAGTGTGTACACGCTGCAAAAAATTAGCGCGTGCCTGGCCCGGACTTGTTTGATGTAGGATCAAATTTGCAGTCTGTACGGGGTATTAGTTAGTAGAACTAACGCAGCTGGTATAAACGCGTACAATTCCGCAAATCTATACAGAGACAAAGGCAGCGTTCGGCACACGCGCGCGCACACACGTTGAAATGTGCCACTCGGCCTCTTGTTGAAACCTTTAAGTACAAATGCGTTTAATTGCAATTTAGAAGATATTTCAACTTGCTCCAAATCATAACAATAATAACAACTCCATAATTAATTACCATGCACGGTAACGATTCTACTATCTTAACAATACATAAAAATAATTTTGAGCATGAAGCAAAGCATCGCTTACAACTTACACTGTTAGACGTATGTTAGGCTGGGATCCTTAAATGCTATCACATAGCAAGCAACAATATAGAGCACCTAAAAGTGGAATATAACATCATTTATAGCCTAACCTTTGAAGTAATACTAGTATACCAACGAGATAGCCCGTATACACACTCGAGCCATCGTATTTTCTCAGGTATCGTGCACAAGGCAACGTTGCCAGTTAAACATAGACCTTTTCAGTTATCCATAGCGTTCATTTGTTGTTAGATTGTTCATAAAACATTTATTGACGACCTCACATGTAAAATATAAAATTTAAAAGATGACGGACTCGCATCAACGATGAATGTTCTAAATAGGCGCACGCACACAGACACGTATGTGCGCACCCACGAAGACACCAACACGCACACACAGATAAATCAATTAATGTAGATATATATACATTGCACTATTTCAACGTTCAGAGACGCAAGTACAGTGCTATTTCAGAGAAATTCGACGCGCATTAGCTCACTTCCTTTAAAAGATTTTAATTTAAAAAGTCTTAGACCCCTAATTTAACTCACGCCTGTGGAACCGGGTCCTGATGTGTTATGTCTAATTATAAAGACATACATTAGATCAGTAGTACATACATAACATAGATTATGTACCATTATGTACCATTGACTATATACCAAAGGCAATACACATGCACTTTCCTTGTCTCTATATTGTACCTGATCACACCATTATGTTTAAACGACTTTACACATTAAAATATCGTGACATGAACTAGCCATACCACATGTAGATTACCCATGCCTATGCTGCACTAGTGAATACACTATACGCGCTGTCCACAACGTGTCACTTTACTATACGGTCAACTTTCCAAATGCTTTCAAAACCGAATCTCTCGTTAAACCGGCAGATTTTTTAAAGTCCAAACACTATCTGAGACATGGAAGGTAAAATAGTACCCCCTGTAAACCGAACTTAATAGAAAACCAAATTAAATGGACGGTCCCGAGGATGGTCAGTATGAATAGAGTTGACTGTATACGTACGAGAAACTGTACGTTTCCCAATGAAAACACCAGCAGCGCCAGTAAAAGAGAAACATGAACGATGTGTGATTTGCACGCACACTGTCATGATACATATATAGGTACCACAGCACAAGATCATGGAAATACGACCACGTAGAACAGTAACAGGAAGGTCGGCAGCGAAAGAAACCACCGTACGCATCGCAATACCTAGCTGTACTGTCTTGCTAGAACAATTAATCCCAATGCTCTCAGCGTGTCATACATATAATCATTGACCACCTGCCGATTTTGCGATTCCACCACGAAATGGTAAGCACAAGTTAAGAATTGGGAAAACGTTGAATCAAATACTCAACGCCAATGTGCATGCCACATCGGATACATTGCTGGTAAGCACTTGCACCCAAATTTATGTAGAAAAAATGAGATAACCTATGAAATAAAATTCCAACCATCTTTTCACTGTTCCTACCTTATCGAGGAGGCGGCAATGTGTTTTTCCGGTTCCTAGTCAGCGACCAACCAGCAAACTTCTTCACGCGTAATCGGTAAACCCCGGCCCGACAGGAAAATCCTTCAAAATTTTCCGGCACTCACTGATCATTCTATATCGGATAGAACACTGAGATAGGCACTTGTTTCCTCATTACTCGTGTCCAGCCACGCTATAGGCTTCCAATGAAAACTGCAACTATGAGATTAACCAAGTAGCCGTGGCTGCAATAGATTGTTATATAGCCGTTGCCATCACAACTACAATAGGTAGCTTGTCATTCAACGTCCGCCCATAAAACCCAGGTTTATATTGCCTAATGACTTGTAAGGAATGCAAACTAGCTAGATTGCCCCACGAATAAAAAAAACAATGAAACTTAGAACAAGCATGGCCGCATTTACGGGGGTCAGAAATCAGTAGCTGACAAGTTCGTGTCTAATTTTCATCGGGATTTGCAGACTCAGCAAGGACATCTCAGCCTGCATTTACCGACATCGACAGTAGTGCTAACACAGTGCCAGCCAGCCTTTTGGAACCAAGCTGCAGTTTAGACAACTAACAGATACACCCAGACTCAATTTACAATAACCACCTACAACAACAAGAGCCTTGCCTGAAGCAATAGGTTAGAATCTTCTGACATGGTATTCAATGAATGTTCACCCTGACAGCACATCAACAGCTTCCGACCAAGATCAAAACCCAGTAGAAAATATAGGAGCTACAGTCCTTCTTAGTTACATGTGTCTCGTAATGGCCACTCTTAGATAAGTCACAATACTCCGAATTAGGTAGAACATAAAATATAGAGACACATTCGATGTTCGTTATGGCTAAGACATTGCAAATCTAATAAATTAGTAATAAAAACCATACCATATAAACATAAAATTCATAAATCATAAAAAAACTTTTTTTTATCTAAATTTTCTAAATAAGACCCACTTATTCGCTTTCACGTTTGACATGAATGTTTTTCCTCTCTATGTGAGAGAGGTTTAGATGGGAAACCAATAAGAACTACAATGAAACCATATCTTCATCTCATCTGTGTGGTCCAGTGATACTGTGGCCGTTTCCTGACTGATATTTGCCCCCTTTTCGAACTGAGATTTGCTTTTAAAAATGCAACCCTTACAAACTATGTGAAGGAACATAATGGAAGAACTCGCGCATGTGCGTGCTTGTACGAGTGAGCGCGTGCACATGAGTATCCATGCACGTGCATGCATGTGTGTGTGAACGCGCGTGCCTGCACATGAGCATCTCTGCGTGCACGTGGGTATGCATATGATTCACCCTCTTCACCTCCATCTTGGAACTTCCGTTAATTATTTCAGTGTACACGCTGCCATAAACACGAACCCTGCATGCTTAGTACCATTATCTGCATACAAGTATTTGTGCGTACTACTCCTCTATGACCTCTGACCTTGTAACATGACCTCACCCACTACAAATAACACGAAATGACAAAATATTAACAACGTTTAACAAAATTAGTATGCAACAATATTCCAGCACAACCCTCACAGATATAAGCACGTCAACATCAACGACGTTAACACCAACACATCAACTTGTCAATGACCATAAACGAATAGGCTATGGTCAATCTACTCATCTGACACGCTGACAAATAAAAATATAATGAGATAAAAGCTCTAGCTAGTGAAAATCGGCTGCCTTGACAGTAGACAGTAAACCCGCACCACACCCAGACACCTCCGAGCCCTGGGTCACACACAAACAGTCACACAAGTCGCATTACACCCTGCATCACACTCACAGTCACATGTCACATCACACCCGGCGTCCCTCGTCACACACACTATCACACGTCACATTAGCAGGGCATGAAATTTATGCAAAATAGCGCTAATTTCGCGCACTGCACTAGTCCCTCAGTTACACACACAGTTACAAGTCGCGTTACACCCAGGGTCATACACACTGTGTCGCACCTTTACGTCGTTACAAATTCGTCGTCGTCATTGGGTCGTCCCTCAGCCTCTTCGTTGACGGCTCCCCGGCGTTGTCCGCCCCTGCGCTCGTCTCCTCCTCCTCCTCCTCCCTCGGCCGCTTCGTTGACGTCACGCACGCGTCCTCGATGCCCGAATCGTTGAGACTGCCGACGAAGGGAGTGGTCGAACATTCCCAGGCGGCGGGCGAACACTCCCACGCGCCGGAGTCCGGGGGTTGCCCGGACGACGTCGGCGTCACACTCGGCGACGCCGAATCGGCACGCACAACGTAGCCGTGGCAACCGGGCACGGCGACGGAGGCTGAGGATGAGCAGAGAGTGATCTCCGACATTTCGACGGACATTCCGCTGGGAACCTGTGAAGAACCGTAGCGATAAAAAACTCGTGGGGGAATGAATAGCATGGGAGCTGCTAGTCCGCGCGAGACAACATGATCGAATGCATGCTTCACCATCCCTCCTCCCGCCTTTCTTCCCCATCTCTCCTCCTCCCAACCGTCTTCATACCATGTTATAACAGTTATACAACTGTCGGTTACAGTACCGCACTAACAGTCATATACAGTTATACAATTTCCACGTCGAGCGCACGTAGATATCAATAGTCAACAAGTTACGTAACGGCTACAGTGACATCGGTCGAAGAGCCGGTGTCGGTAGCCTCATTATACAATTACGTGACCCCTGACACACTGAAATAATTGAATTCTGATCTTCACACGTAAAGCCTGACCTTCATGCGTGAACTCTGACCTTCACACGTGACCCCTGACACGCACACGCATGAACTCTGACCTTCACACGTGACCCCCAGACACGCACATGCATGAACTCTGAACACGTGACCCCTGACATGCACACGCATGAACTCTGACCTTCACACGTGTCCCCTGACACGCACACGCATGAACTCTGACCTTCACACGTGACCCCCAGACACACGCATGCATAAACTCTGACCTTCACACATGAACGCTGACCTTCACACGTGACCCCTGACCTTCACGTGTGACCCCTGCATGAACTCTGACCTGTGTGCCGCTGTCCCCGCTCGAACTCGTGTCCGACGACTTCTTCATCTTGCGCCGCTTCGCGAGCGGTGCCTTCGACACGTCCTGCAGCAGGAAGCCCTCGCGCGCTGCCCTGTGGAATGACTTGAACGTCTTGCTGAGCGCGGTCTGTACGTGTCGCGACGCGGAGGTGAGGAGAACGCCGGGGGTCATGAGCGGCGTGCTGCTGTCCGGGTCCTGCGCGAGCCAGTCCGACGCCACGAGGTTGTCCAAGGTCAGACGCTGCTTTGGCTCGATCGTCAGTAATCCTGAAATCGGTTTCGCACCGGTTTAAAAGAATACACGTATTCCTCCAGGTGAACGCAGGTACTGCTATAGGTAAAGTAAGAAAAATGCAGGTACTGCTATAATTGGCAATTTGTTCAAGTTAGAAGGATGCAGGTACTGCTATCGGTAATTTGTTCAAGGTAAAAGAATGCAGGTACTGCTATTGGTAATTTGTTCAAGTTACAAGAATGCAGGTACTGCTATAGGTAATTTGCACAAGTTAGAAGGATTCACGTACTGCTATAGGTAATTTGTACAAGTTAGAAGGATTCAGGTACTGCTATAATAGGTAATTTGTACAAGTTAGATGAATGCAGGTACTTCTATAGGTAATTTGTACAAGGTAAAAATGCAGGTTCTGTATTACTCTAGCGTTCAGTCAGTGTCGTGCTTTTTTTAATGCGTCGATTCATTTTTCCTATAGGATTTACACAAGGAATACTTGGACAACGAAAATGTTACAAAGAAACCTGATGTAAGGGTGCCTGGTGTAATTGTTATGGACAACATCTAAATCACCCTTTATTAGATCTTTAGCTTGTTCTGAGACGAGCAACCACTCTGCGCCGTCGAAGCTGAATTCATTGCCTCGTATTCGCTTCATAATTGCAGCTGCTCTCGTTTCCTCGTTTGATTGGAATGGAACCCGTCCGGATAGCATTGTATACTAAAATATAGATCACGAATGTCATATGCGCACCCAACTATGTATGACATAAAATGACACAGACATACTAGGAGCTTTAAGTAAAAATGTTATTTTAATGTATTATGAGATGTATATTAAAATAGTATTCGTAATTAATCTGTTAACATGTAAACTTAACTACCTTCTTACAACGAAAATAAAAATTACATACATAACCACCTTCCACATCATAAAATAGCAATCGAGACGTAATGGGAACTGGTTACTTTAAAGTACTACAGAGATGATATCATAGTTCCCAATGACAACACGTATGAATCAGGAGCCAACGTCAGAACAATTCCCAGTCTATGACAAAAGATATCATATTTTAGACTTTATTCACTAGTTTTAACTAATTATGATATTTCTGACAATGGTACCCGGTAATATATAGAAATAAATATGTATTCACCATCATGCGACCAATGAGGTAGTAGGGTAGACGATTTTTGCTGGTAAACAACATAAATTATTTAAACATTACAGCGAAACAGACATTACAGATTAACAATTTAAACATTTTGTAAACACCAGATGATAACAAAATAATGTGATAAAACACAGAGAACATTGGACGCATTTAAAAACAATTCTGGTAAACGGCACCCCAGGGGAAGAGGAGAGAACGCGGCGGCAGCACTCACCAGTATAACGCCGAGGCTCCACAGGTCGCACGATTCATCGTAGCCGCGCTCCGCCGGGTCGTGTGGGTTGCTGGCAATCATGAGTATCTCCGGCGGGGCGTAGGGCAGCGTGTAGCATGGCGTCGCCATCAGCTCACTGTCCAACCTCAAGCGAGCAAAGCCGAAATCAACGATCTTGATGCCGGCCGCTTCCGTTGCATTCTCGTAGAGTAGATTCTGCGAATGTGGGGAGACCAGTGAGGCAAGTGCGTCGTAGATTAAATGCTGCAGAAATGATGTGGGAAACAGCGACGTAAGTGCCTTGTAGAGTAAATGCTGCAGAGAATCGTGTTGTAAGCATTTCCTAATCCACTTTAAAACAAGTGCCGCAGAGCGACAGCGCTCAACTGACGTGTACTGTAGCCAGGTATTCTTCTGATAAACTCACTGGCGGACGAATCAAGTGCGCCCTCCTGCCACCGCGTTCGCGCTCAGAGCATATATCTAGGATACTACTAATACAGATCTAAAATCTATGATAGGCTTTGTTATACCTACTGGTAGTCTATATATATAAAGTTGTTCAGCCGAATTAGTCTGTTCGCGCATAACTAGAGAACTACGTCTAAGGAAGTTCTTCACTTCCCGTTCCAGGTTCTCGGTTTAGTAGGTGTGAGGTAGTGGCACCCTTTTTAAGGGTAGCGTCAGGTTGCGTCGATAGATAACAGGAACACAGTATTATGAAAACTACTGTTCGTGCATCATTTTTTGGGGTATTTTCCTTTCAACCAAGCGGTCACCAACAGAGTAACGCCACTGATTTCCCCAGGCAATGCTGGGTATCCCGCTAGCCTTTTTTAATTTAATGTCTTTTATCTTTTGATTTCTTATTATTTTTTACTGTTTGGCATGGGATGGGATGGCATGGCATGGGATGGCATGGCATGTGATGGGATGGCATGGCATGGCATGCGATGAGATGGGATGGGATGGGATGGGATGGGATATGGGATGGGATGGCATGGCATGGCATGGCATGCGATGAGATGAATGCATGGATAGATGCATGGATAGATAGATAGTTAGATTTTTTTGGGTATTTTCCTTTCAACCAAGTTGTCACCAACTGAGTAACGCCACTGATTTCCCCGGTCAACGCCGGGTATCCCGCTAGTACAGTAATAAAGATACAGCTGTGTAACTTTAATGACTTCGCTATGTTAACATTTATCATGGATATGCGTCGAGCGCGAGCGTAGTGGTGGTGTGGGGAGGGTGGGGAGGGGGTAGAGGGGGCGGGTGGAGGAGGCTCTAATAGTAAAAGCAGTTGTCCTTTGTTAACAGTCAACAAATCCATGTTTAACCTCCTCTTGAGGGTCACAGGTATCAGACACTTACTCTTCGCAAGTCAGTGGAAAGTAGATTTCATGGTCCTTTCAATAAAGTGATAACAAGTGCCGCGGAGCGACAGCACTCATCTAAACGTCTACTGCGGTGACTCTGTGGTGGAGTGGTGGGATTCTAGTAAACTCTGTTAGTCCCAAATGTGTTCACATACGCGCCGAAACAGTGGAAGGCACAGGGATGGTATCAGAAACCTTCTCAAACGAATGTTCGTTGGGATCGTTATAAAAGTTGCACGAGATGGCGCGTACGTTTAAGTGTCTTAAGATTAAAGATGAAGCTCCTATCGTACGTAGTAGCAACAACTATTTGCAAGACAGAACAGGTAAGCACTCAATCCATTTACTTACGAAGCCTACAGGCTAAAATAGAGAAGCTGCCACCTGTAACTAATTTAATGCAGGCAAAAAACTACACAGTACTATCACCACCACATGCACCGGCAGTGGCCACTGGCAGTGGCATAAGTTACATGTAACACACTGACAGTACAGGAATGCCATAGAAATTATACGATTTAAGAAGCATAAACCTTCTTCAACCAAATTTAGCTCTTTAAAATTTCACTGTGACATTGTAGCCTCATACATCCAGACATGTATAGATTCTACTAGCAAACCGGCAGTCAAATTCTTTTCTAACAGTAAACAAATCCATGTTTAACCCTCCTCTTGAGGGTCATAAGGTTATCCGACACTTACTCTTCGCATGTCAGCGAAAGTACATTTCATGGTCCTTTCAATAAAGCCATAAAAATGGTAGGTCACTGCTGAAACAAAAAAGTTTTTCAATCGCTCCGTCAAACCATGCCCTCAGAAAATTTCTAAAATTTGCCCTGTGCCCCATTGACCTTTGACCCTTGACTCCCAAATTCGACATCCCGAGTCCTTTTCGCGATCCCCCCCCGACGTCCTAAATATCAAGACCGTACGTCGAGCGGTTAAGATTTGTGCCCAACTGTTGACGGATGGACAGACGGACGGACGCAAGGACGCACGGACAATCATGCGATTCTACAAGCTGCATCTGACTTCGTCAGCTGAGCTAAAAAATGTGAGCGTTTCCGATTTGTGGTGAAAATGTTGTGTACCAATATGCTGAAAGTTGATGAAGTCTGCATACAGGGTTATGTACAGCCAAATAGAACTGGTAAAATGAAAATGGAAATGGAACGTTTTTAATTTGCATTGCCCTATTTCGATAAAGGATACTACAGTTTTGGCGAGTAATAATCCATTATAACTCTGACTCGAACTACCTCATTTCGTCACTCAGAGAAAGAACTGACAAGATACCACATGATTTTGAAATAAACAAAGACCAATCATGATAAACATTTCACTTCCAGCCAGCAACCTTATTATAATAAACTTTGAATTTGAAACTCGAAAAACTATGAATTTACGAGCTGCCGCGCTCAACTCACGTACACTCAAAGCTACGGCATATTTTTGCCACGCGAGGAAATTGCGGAAAGTCCTGTGATCCCCTCTAGACTGCAGTGCTTCTTAAACTATTTCAGTGTCATTCACACTCGAGTCTTTATCACAAAATTTCATTCACCCGCAACTAAATTTCCTTGGTTTTCATCCATTTTCATACACCCCAAAATAATTTTATTTACCCTTGGGTGAACCATTTACCAGTTTAAGAAGCACTGCCCTAGAGGGTCAAAAACGTGTGTTTACGGGCGTGGGTTTTGGCGGTTACGTCACGCGCGTGTGAATGTCACCTCGGGTTTGAGCTAGATCTCGATGTGAAAATGCGTGTTTACGGGCGTGGGTTTTGGCGGTTATGGCACGTGCATGCGACTGTTACCTCGGGTTTGAGCTAGATCTCGATGTGAAAATGCGTGTTTACGGGCGTGGGTTTTGGCGGGTGT